TCAAAATCACCATAACACATAGTGATTGAGCAACAACATTGCTGTGTCGCATTATTCTACAAGAATTGACTATTAACATTTTCAATTTTGACTATTCCATTTAAAAAACTATCTAAGAATCTAGAAAGAAGCAGTGACAAGTAACAAAATGATCAAAAAGATAATAATGAAGCCCTAAGAAAAAACTTGAAAGACTTGTTTTTCTTTAGAGTGAAAAAATATGTATAGTCATTTAATACAAATTAGGGGCAATTTTGGTTGTACATAAGTAAAGGGTTTTTTTCAATTTTTTAACCAATAATCATTCAAAGGTACTCTGGTGGATTTTGGAGTTTTTTGCTTGGAGATATTCAGAAAGAGACTAGAAAAATATTTTCATAAAGTATTTCAGATGTTTACCTGCCTAAAGGCAGGCAGCTTGAACAGAAGATTTCTCAAAGCCCTTACAGATTTATTATCTTATAATTCTATAATTTCACGGTAATTCAAACCACTTTCTAACTGTCAATAGTCTCTATTTATGTGAACAGGCATCAACTCCTGTATCTTATTTCATTTATAAGACAAGAGCTTGAAAAGCACCTTCACACAGCAATTTGTACATGATCTGATCTATTTTCATGGTTTTGTAAGCATGAAAGATTTAAAAGAACTGTACCCGAGGCTGCATTATTTATAAGGGGAAGGTATGAAACAGCATGCCATAAAAGAAATTAAAACAGAAAAGCAGTAGAAGGCTAGTAAAGCCTCTCTTGTTTATGGGAGATTCAGATCAAACACAAATCCACACTTTGAGGATGTGGCCCAGATCACAGACCTCTTCCAGCAACCACTAAGAAAATTCCTTTTCTACAATAATGAATGAGATCGCATGACATAGTCAGAAACTTTGCTTTACTTTCATTTAGGGGCATACTGAAGCCTTGGCAAAGTAAATATCTATTGGTTGGTTTATTATGACTTGGACTTTTCCTTATGATTCTCATCAAAGACAAATTGACAAACAAACACAAAAGAACACTTACTAACATTTACTGAAATACTAACCTCTGTGTGTGTCGGTTTCCTGATCTGTAAAGCAGGGAATAATAAGAGAACATACTTCATATGGTTATTGAGAGAATTAAGAGAATTAATCTATTTGAAAGCTCATAGGAAGTTCTTATTTATGTTAACTATTATCATTACACTAAAGACTTTCTTAACTGATCACTATTTAATAAATTCACCTAATTAACCAATATTCTCTACTTGCTACATGAAAACAGTGATTAACATGCAAAACAAACCATAATATATGTGTCTAGAAGGCTCCTCTTACATTCATTTGATTATTGAGAAATCTTAGAAAACTTTTTATGCATAATGTACATGTTGCAATTATGTAATGCAATTACTTAATAAATAAGTTAATATTATGTGTGAAAATAATGGTGTTGTTCATGTGGAAGTTTTGTTGAATGCTTTTGAAACCTTTAAAAAGAGAAAGATGAGCCCCTAAAGTATTGCCACTGTATTAGTCATGGATTAACCAGCAAAAATACTTAGATTAAAAAAATCATAGAAAATGTAGATGTATTCTGCTTTTAGATCATATTGAAAATTTCTTTAACTTCTTACTATGCTTGAAAAAAAGTGGTAGAGGTTGCTTTTGGAAGTAGTTTATGCCAGAAAAACGATATAGAATTCCAATTTCCCAGCCATAAGATTCTTCTTATATATCAAAATCTGATGAATTCATTACATGTTTTAAGATTGTAATTTTTAACATATATGTAAATTATATGTATATATAAAATTCTCCATAATTATTGAATATAATGGGCTTTTCCCATTAGTTAACTAACTACTAATTCTGATTCTGTTGGAAAGAGGGCTTATTCTGTGTTATTATTTGTGACATCAGAGTAGAGAGGATATGAATGTCCCCTATGTTGCTCTGAGTTTGAATATTTCATCACATAAGAGTGAAAGGGAGTCAGGGCAGTGGAGCTAATGTTAGAGAAGAGGGTCCTATGAACAGCAAAGTTAGCCGAGGGTTCATGATTGACAATGAAGGATTTGAGGCATGTCACTATGGTTAGTGGGAAGATTCAGAATACTACAGGTTCGTATGCTGACGTAGATCATCTAGCATGGAGGAAGATATCGATAATGAAGAAGAGAGAGGGTAATCAAGGGAAGGAAGCATTTAAGTTATGGGGGTTGGGCTGCAGAATAAAGGTGGATGTATTTGTATATCTGACTTTGGTAGAAGAGGGACGTTGTTCACATTAACAAGAAATGTAAAAACAAAATTCCCCGAAATCTACCTATCTTTGTCTACCACATCTACCTATTCCATTTATCTGCCCATCTGCCTATCTTCCTATCTGCCTATTGCATCCATCTTTCTAACTTTTTGCCCATCTATCTGTCTATCTATCCACTCATACATATCATTTATAAATAATACATTTCTGTTTATATCTCTAACTCCATCTCTACCTCTAATTCTGTCTTATTCTTTGGAAATAATTAAAAGCTCAGCTGGAACAAGTATGAGTTCCTTTAGGATTCGGAATACACACGGCTTCCACCGTCCCACAGTGTGGAGTGCCCTTCATCAGGGCTACGTGTGGACAAACAGTCAGAAGGAGGCATACATTTGATGCCTGCATTATCAGAAAGCATGAGGATCCTCATCACTTTCCCTACGTAGGTCGTTAAACGGTTAAAATAGGTGAAAGCAACTTGCTGGAAACGATAGACTCCTCTTGCTTTCCCTCTGTCTATAACTGACCCAGGTTCTTTCAATTTTTTCTCTGGAATATCTCTGAATCCACATGCGCTTAGCCAACTGCACAAACATTGCCTAGTTCAAGCCCTCATCGCATCTCACTTAGACTGTTGCTGTTGTTCTGTTACTGAGTTCTTGCTTCTAATTTCTCCACTAGGGTCATCTTCCTAAAAGAGCAATATCACCACGACATCATTTCCCTACATAAAGCAATTCCATGGCCTCTGGGCCTCACGGGACACAGCCCAGGCCCTCAACGTGGCATTTACGTTTAATTGTGATGCAGATTTCCACACTCAGGACAAGATACATAATTTGTGAGCCCAGGGAAAAATGAAAATGTGGGGCTTCTCGTTAATAAATTATTCAGAATTTCAAGATGGTGACAAAAGCATTAAACCCATCACGGCATTTTCCAAGCATGAGGTTGTCAGCGATTGCACAGGTAGCACACGCATGAAGCTGATCTAGATCTCCCCACATACCACATCATCTTCTGACATTCCTCACAGTGCCTAAGTAACTAGCAATCCTGAAATGCATCTTGTGCTTTGCCCTTCCAGGTTTCTGCAATGCCATTCATCCTCTCTGGAAATTCTTTCTTCTTTGTATCTGCTTGGAAAAACGTTTATTTTCTCTTAAGGATTCAACTCATCTCTTAATATATATAATTTCTCGGAAAAATTTGTTTGATCACTGCTTTCTGGATGACACCATCATGTTTAGCACATATGTATGGTTGCATTTATCATATAATTACAGATTTTAAGTACATATTTTTCTCTGAGCCTCGATTAGCCCCAAAAGGAAGGTCCATATTTTAATTACTTCTTAATCTCCCATGCTTGGTTGAGTGTCTGGCATGTATTAAACACTCCATAGATGTTTTTGAATGATTCATGTTTTATAACAATTCCAAATATTTTGAAGTTGTGAGCCACAGATATTTGTTTGCACTGCTTATGAAAATTCTGTCATAACTTACTATAATTTTAGACCAAATTAAAACATTGTTTGGGTTGAAAATTTGGGGAGAATTTGAAGCCGTTTTATATATGAAGACATTTGGAATCATCAAAATGGGTTTTAAAATGTTCTATTAGCTAAGTCATGAATAGTGTGAAACTCACTTTCGAAACTCACTCTGAGTCTATCAATTCCTTGCTGCTAACTAGGGATGAGGATCCCAGTGAGATTTTTATATTTCTCCTGATATTTTGAAAACACGGTTTCATCTCTATCATTATTTCTGCTTAAATTATATTTTTTCAGATACCGTACAGATAAATGATTACTGTGAAGCATAAATCGAGTATTATCAGAAATAATTATGTCTGAACATCCAACAGTTAAGTAGTGAGAGATGTCACATGATCACTCATAGGCTCCTCTCTAGAAGGCGATGTTACAGGACTGGAAGGACAGCATCAAAGGAAATGTATCAAAATGGTGAAGATAATGATTGAAGAGCTATATAGCTATATGTTTTTAAACAGGCTGTGTTAGAATCTTGTGAAGTTTGACCTTATGAAATATTTTTTGTAAATTTATTAGGTAGAAATTCTATTTGGCTATACTATGGTTTGAATGTTTGTATCCCCACCCCCCCTCCAAATTTATATGGTGAAATCCTAATGCCCAGTGTGATGGTTTAGGAGGGATGGCTTTTGGGATGTGCTTAAGCATGAGGGTAGAGCCCTCGTGAATGGGATTAGTGCTCTCATGAAAGAGCTCCCTTGCATCTCTCCCACCATGTGAGGACATGGGGAGAAGTTGCAGGCTTGAAACAGGGAGAGCGTCCTAAAGAGAACGTGACCTTGCTGGTGTCTTGATCGTGAACTTCCCAGAACTGTGAGAAGTAAATTTCCGTTGTTTATAAGCTACTCAGTCTGCAGAATTTTGTTATAGCAGCCCAGATAGTCTGAGCCATCTTACATATACTATACAATTCATAGAAAATGGGCTGTGCTTTGCAAACAAGTTCAAGATGGATGCTATTTTTGTTTCAATTTTCTACTTAATCCAATGAGCCAACGCATAGTACTTAATTTAAATACATTAATTGAGATTTAAATGTCAGAAATTTAAAAAATTTTGGTCTTCTAAAATTTTTTATGGAAGATATTTTATCTCCTTTTATGATACAAGATTCTAATAAAGAGAAAACCAGCCAAAAAATGAATAGAAAAATGATCCAATTGTCCAATACAAATACATTAGTAGGAATTTATTTATATGAGTAAATTAGTAGGAAGCTGAGCGGCAAAAAGAAATAGAGGTGTAAGGTAATTTGGTAGACCATTATCGTGATTTTAAGTGAAAAACTTAAAAAAATTAATAATCCATGCTGAAATCCTAGCTTCTTATGAGTTGGTATCTTTAATAACTAATTAGAGAGTCCTTGAGATTTCGAGGAATGCTTGTCCACTGGTGGCTCCATTTTCCAAAGCCTGGAATAATTCCACCATAATACAAGGATTCTTTCATCGTCTTATCCTGGAAAGAAAGGATTATTCAAAATAATTAATCCCATCATCCCTAAACTTTAAAACTTGTAATAGCATGAATTCCATAGAGAAACAAATAAAAAACAAAAAAAGAACCTCCCTTAAAACTTTTAAGGATACAATTTTTACCTAAGCAAAATCCATAAAAAACATAATTTATATACAATTTATATTAAATGAAACTCCTTCCATTCATATCTATAAATTATTTCTCAATGAAGCGAATTATCTTTTTAAAGTTTTAAAAACAAGGATATGAGGAGAAATTATAAATTTGAATTTATAAAGCGTGTTTTTTTCCTGAGATCCTTAAATTCTTTGTATGTGGCCTTTAGCTGATTCTCCTGTTACTGATATTAAGCAGATAACACAGAATTATTTGCTCTCTTTTTATCATTTGCCAAGGTCATAAACTCTTATAATAACTGGAGCAGCTTGCATTATTATTTAAATATTTGGCGCCTCCCTTTGGAGGCCCCTCATGTGGGTAACTCCCCTTGGTGCCCCTCCATAGAGGAGCCTTGGGTCTCTCCACCTCATTGATGCCAGGGGGGCCATTAACTTGTTTTGGTCAACACAATGAGAGAAGACATGAGGTGTGCCATATCTGAGAAGGAGCTCCAGGAGCCACTGAGTGTCCTGTACACTGTTTCTCTTTTCTCATGTGAGAGGACACTCTGGGTCCCAGCATAGCGCAGACATGCAGTCAACCTGTGATGGGCAACAGAAAGCCCCTGAGGGTTTAGGAGTGGTTTGCACCATGGTGAAATTTAGCCTAACCTTGAGAATGACATTAATGTTTTAAAAACATATCTTATTCTACATTTGGTTTTGTTTATATTGACTTTCTTATGAAAACAGAGGATGAAGTAAAAGCCATGGAGAGTAAGTGATATTTATAAATAAGTAAAGGGAGCGAGCTGGTGTTGACTGTCTACTACATCTCAATCAATCAACCCTCACCAGACACTGACAGACGGGGAGTATTTGATTGGTTTTTAGGTGAGGACACCAAGGCAGTTTTTAATAAAAATTTCTAGTTCACCCCCAGAGTTGATGTGAATAATTACATAACATGTTACTTAAATATATATAATAATAAAATTATATTTAATTCTTGGAGGACAAACATTTTGCAACTATTAGAACAAAGCAACTATCTATAAAACAACTATGAAGTCACTAATATTCAAGTTAACATTAATTTAATTTGAAAGTATATATACTTACTTGTAAAACATAAAATATATACATAAATATGGTTAAGCTGAAACTATATCAGGGCCTGAGAAAATAAATATGGTGCCTATTGTTACAGCATAACTCTTTGTTTGTTTTTGTTTCTAGTTCAAGATGTTTATACTATTGTGTGCAGCATATTACTCTAATTCTTATACCAGATTTCTTCATTTAAAGGACTGAAAAACTATTTTTTCCATTTAACATCCTACCATCAGGTTTTTTTCCACTCAACTGGCACAAAGGAAAAAATTACACATTAAATGTGTTAGCTTTTTTTCCCATGAAACTTGGATAATTAAAACAATCCTAATTAAAAACAGAGAGAATGCATCTCAGGACAGGAAACAGATACTTAAAAAGAGGTAATCCAAATAGTTCAGGATACATTTATATTAATTTTTTTGTTAACCTTAAAAGTAACAAGCAGCACTAATATACAGATTTTCAATGAAAATAAGAGATATATGATATCATACAGTCATGAATGGTTTCATCAAGATCTAAACATATGGAACCTAAGAAACCAGCGTCCATAGGTTGAGAAATCCCTCATTAAGGCTGGGGAGATGTTAAGTAACCTGCAAGTCATACAGCTCAAAAGTGGTGGTGCCCGGATGTGAATCCACTTCAGTCTTCTCTTTATGTTACCACAAAATAAGGGCTCCAAATATAGCATAAGCCTATTTAAGTAAATAATTCAAAAAACCAGCAAAACGTATGATCTGATAATAAGGATTGAAAAGCAAAAAGGAAGAAAAGTGCTGGCCAAAAGGATAGCAGAATGTCACAGAAATATATATATGGCGACTATGAATCATGGATTCTTTGCTGTCAGAATTAAACACCAACAGAAATAATATTTTTTTGGAATTAGTGATAAACTGTTTTATATTTGCTTATTTATCTTTCATTTATATTGCTATATTTGCAGAACGATTGGCAATAACTTACAATAAAGATGAGGTAAAAACAAGGAAGACCAATAAAGCCAGGAAAATGGACAATTCATAGAACAGAAGGAAAATAATAAAATAAGAACATGGGTTTAATAAAAGTTACTGCACAAAATTGCGACTTTATAGTCAGCTAAGTTAAGATGGTATTTTATAAATTTTATGATTCCCATTTCCGAATAAAACAAATCTATTTCTCAAAGTATTGTTAGACACCATTGATGATAAGATATACTATAAATTTAATAACAGTTTTTTCAGGAGAAGGTAAACTCATTCCATGGTCCTAAACCATACTCTGCTATAGAGCATAAAAAAGTAACAATCTTTTTATTTTTCTAAGTTAGATTTAATCTACTCCAAAAATTCGCTCCCTGGACTTATGCAAAATTGGATTTAGTCAGTCTTACATATCACTTCCATTCTATTCAGAATAGTGTAAATGTCATGGGGCTAACGCAATTTAAGCCTTGGAGGAGGAATGTCTGGTTTCTCTGCATGGTCACCAGTGGCAAGCTCTGCTTTGAGCCCATTCACCCCTTAAGCCTGGGTGACTCTGACACTCGTGAGACATCATCATCTGCAGTCCATCCTCTCCGGGCGCACCACACACTTATTCTCTCTGAATTGTGCCACTGCAGTAGGTACTGTGGGGGAGCTGGCACCAGTCCTCTTTCCTGTGGAACATATAAAACTCCAATTCCTCCGGAAATTTTTCAAGAAAGCTCTTCAAATACTTCTCTATTCTTTCAGCATCCACCAACCACATGGAAACCATTCTCTAAATCTTCTCCTTCTCTGGATTGACAGTAAACATTTTCCTACTAAAGCCCCCTTATAAACACAATGGGGATGGAAGCTGGAAAATTGAATGCTAGCAACATTCATTTTATTCTTAGTAATTTATTTTGTTAGATATACGTTGTTTAAAGGGCTAAGTCTTAAGAACACTCAAAGTTAGGTTTTCTTGATTTATTATTGTTGTTATGTTAGACTTGGTAAGTAGGGTGTTACTATTTATTCAGTTTAGGTCATTAATTTTTAATTATTAAAGGTAGATAAAATGGAAAATTAAAAAAATTACCTTTCTCCAAAATTAGGGAATTAGAATATGGTCTAAAATATATTCATTTGTCTTATGCCTTTATTCTCTCTCTCCCCCTCTCTCTTTTCTGTGTGGTAAAATATACATAGCATAACATTTACCATTTTAATGTGGACAGCTCAGTAGCATTAAGTACATTCACATTGTTGTATAGCCAAAACTGTTATTTATCTCCAAAACTTTCTGATCATTCCAAATTGAAACTCTGTACCCATTACAGAACTCCTCATTCCTCTCACCCTTGAGCCCCAGGTAACCACTACCCTACCTTCTGTCTCTATGAAAGCAAGATTAAACTCGACTATTCTAGGGACCTCATATTAGTGGAATCATATAATATTTGTCCTTTTTTGTCTAGCTTATTTCACTTAGCATAATGTCTTAAAGTTTCATCCATGTTGCAGCATGTTTCAGAACCTCATTCTCTCCTATGGTATTTTCCTTTATCTGGATAACATGACCCTGTTTGGCAACAAAGCTGAGAAAGGAATTGGATTAATGAACTTAGTGGACAGTAAATTAAAACATATCATTTTTTTCATGTGAGAGAGACAGAGAGAAAGAGAGAGAAGATAGATTCTGGGGAGCTAAAATGAAAATGCAGAAGCTGATATTACAGCACTTGCATTTTTTCCATTGCAAGGGAAAATTAATTTGAACACTTTTCAGCACTTTTTCACTTTTGGTTCACGTTGGACACAGAGCTTTTTAGATTTATTGCTTGATTTGAAAACGGACAAAAACTTCTAACAACCTCCATATCCATCCTCTTCTTCCCAAATCTTATGAAAACCAGCAGGTTTTTCTATTAAAGACCTAATCATGCGAACCATGTAAGAAGATGTCATTGTTATAAAACAATGCGGCGAGCAGTGAGGAGAAAGACTGCCAAGTTAAACACAGAGGGCAAATCCGCCTGCGTATTCCCACACCCTTAAACACGTATTCCAGTGTGAACTGCCTGTGAGTTTCTGATGACAGAACTTGGCCCACCAGGCAATCATTCTCAGAAGGACTCAGCTCTTTCCAGAAACTGCATTTATATTTCCCAGATGATTATGTCTTTTATCAAAAGCAGCAGTTGAGAAATGGCCAAGCTCAGCATCAGAAAAGTTGTCCAGCTGCAATGACTGGCTTCACCTGCGGATGAATATGAGAAAGGGCAGGAGAGCAAGGCAGTTGTTGGGTTGGAATTCTCAAGAATCACATTAAATTCATGTGACCACAGATGGGGAAAAAAAAATCTGCGATCATCAGATGGCAAGTGACTTTTTTCTTCAGGAAGTTGAATCGTTTATTTACAAACTAAGTCTGTGTTTTTTTCCTTTGTACTATATGAGGCAAATGTATCAATAAATGCGTAGTACTCAGGACAAAAGTGAAACACACAAATCTGTGCAAATATTATAGCTACAGATATGTCTCTACTTATGTGTCCATAAAAATATACATGTTCTTTAATAGATGTTTGTGGATCCCTCATACACCTTTCTTCCCTATGCAAACTTTATTATAAAACTTATTGGACTTGCAAATATTTTCTCCCACTCCATAGGTTGTCTTTTTCACTTTGTTGATGGTTTCCTTTGTAGTGCAGAAGTTTTTGAGGTTCATATAGTCCCATTTGTTTATTTTTGCTTCTGTTGCCTTTGCTTTTGGTGTCAAATCCAAAACGTCTTTGCCAAGACT